AACACCATTTATTGAACAGGGAATCCTTTCCCCATTGCTTATTTTTGTCTGGTTTGTCAAAGATCAGATGGTTATAGATCTGTCGTGTTGCCTCCGAGACCTCTGTTCTGTTCCATTGGTCTGTATCTCTCTTTGGTACCAGTACCATGCTGTTTTGATTATTGTAGCCTTGTAATATAGTTTGAAGTCTGGTAGTGTGATGCCTCCTGCTTTGTTCTTTTTGCTTAGAATTGACTTGGCTATGTGGGCTCTCTTTTGGTTCCATATGAAGTTTAAGGTGGTTTTTTCCAGTTCTGCGAAGAAGGTCATTGGTAGCTTGATGGGGATAGCATTGAATCTGTAAATTACTTTGGGCAGTATGGCCATTTTCACGATAATTATTCTTCCTAACCATGAACATGGAATGTTTCTCCATCTGTTTGTGTCCTCTCTTATTTTGTTGAGCAGTGGCTTGTAGTTCTCCTTGAAGAGGTCCTTTACATTCCTTGTTAGTTGTCTTCCTAGGTATTTTAGTCTCTTTGTGGCAATTGTGAATGGAAGTTTGTTCTTGATTTGGCTCTTTTTAAGCCTGTTATTGGTGTATAGGAATGCATGTGATTTTTGCACATTGATTTTGTATCCTGAGACTTTGCTGAAGTTGCTTATCAGTTTCAGGAGATTTGGGGCTGAGACGATGGGGTCTTCTAGATATACAATCATGTCATCTGCAAATAGAGACAATTTGACTTCCTCCTTTCCTATTTGGATGCCCTTTATTTCTTTTTCTTGCCTGATTGCTCTGGCTAGAACTTCTAATACTATATTGAATAGCAGTGGTGAGAGTGGGCATCCTTGTCTGGTGCCACATTTCAAGGGGAATGTTTCCAGTTTTTGCCCATTCAGTATGATATTGGCTGTTGGTTTGTCATAAATAGCTTTTATTATTTTGAGATACGTTCCATCAATACCTAGCTTGTTGAGGGTTTTTGGCATAAAGGGCTGTTGAATTTTGTCAAAGGCCTTCTCTGCATCAGTTGAGATAATCATGTGGTTTTTGTCTTTGGTTCTGTTTATGTGGTGAATTACGTTTATAGACTTGCGTATGTTGAACCAGCCTTGCATCCCCGGGATGAAGCCTACTTGATCATGGTGGATAAGCTTTTTGATGCGCTGTTGCAATCGGCTTGTCAGTATTCTATTGAAGATTTTTGCATCTATGTTCATCATGGATATTGGCCTGTAGTTTTCTTTTCTTGTTGAATCTCTGCTGGGTTTTGGAATCAGGATGATATTGGTCTCATAAAATGATTTGGGAAGAATTCCCTCTTTTTGTATTGTTTGGAATAGTTTCAGAAGGAATGGTACCAGCTCCTCTTTGTATGTCTGGTAGAATTCGGCTGTGAACCCGTCTGGCCCTGGGCTTTTTTTGGGTGGTAAGCTCTTAATTGCTGCCTCAACTTCAGACCTTGTTATGGGTCTGTTCAGGGTTTCGGCTTCTTCCTGGTTTAGGCTTGGGAGGAGGCAAGTGTCCAGGAATTTATCCATTTCTTCCAGGTTTATTAGTTTATGTGCATAGAGTTGTTTATAATAATCTCTGATGATGGTTTGAATTTCTGTGGAATCTGTGGTGATATCCCCTTTATCTTTTTTTATTGCATCAATTTGGTTATTCTCTCTTTTCTTTTTTATTAATCTGGCTAGTGGTCTGTCTATTTTGTTGATCTTTTCAAAAAACCAGCTCCTGGATTTATTGATTTTTTTGAAGGGTTTTTTGTGTCTCTATCTCCTTCAGTTCTGCTCTGATCTTAGCTATTTCTTGTCTTCTGCTAGACTTTGAGTTTTTTTGATCTTGCTCCTCTAGCTCTTTCAGATTTGATGATAGGGTGTCAATTTTTGATCTCTCCTTGCTTCTCATGTGGGCACTTATTGCTATATATTTTCCTCTAGAGACTGCTTTAAATGTGTGCTAGAGATTCTGGTATGTTGTGTCTTCATTCTCGTTGGTTTCGAAGAACATCTTTATTTCTGCCTTCATTTCATTGTTTATCCAGTCAACATTCAAGAGCAAGTTATTCAGTTTCCATGAAGCTGTGTGGTTCTGGGTTAGTTTTTGAATTCTGAGTTCTAACTTGATTGCACTGTGGTCTGAGAGACTGTTTGTTACGATTTCCGTTCTTTTGCATTTGCTGAGGAGTGATTTACTCCCGATTATGTGGTCAATTTTAGAGTAGGTGTGATGTGGTGCTGAGAAGAATGTATATTCTGTGGATTTGGGGTGGAGAGTTCTGTAAATGTCTATTAGGTTTGCTTGGTCCAGGTCTGAGTTCAAGTCCTGGATATCCTTGTTAATTTTCTGTCTGGTTGATCTGTCTAATAATGACAATGGGGTGTTAAAGTCTCCCACTATTATTGTGTGGGAGTCTGAGTCTCTTTGTAAGTCATTAAGAACTTGCCTTATGTATCTGGGTGCTCCTGTATTGGGTGTGTATATATTTAGGATCATTAGCTCTTCTTGTTGCATTGATCCTTTTACCATTATGTAATGTCCTTCTTTGTCTCTTATGATCTTTGTTGCTTTAAAGTCTAATTTATTAGAGATGAGAATTGCAACTCCTGCCTTTTTTTGCTTTCCATTTTCTTGGTAAATCTTCCTCCATGTCTTTATTTTGAGCCTTTGTGTATCCTTGCATGTGAGATGGGTTTCCTGGATACAGCACACCAATGGGTTTTGGCTTTTTATCCAATTTGCCAGTCTGTGTCTTTTGATTGGGGCATTTAGCCCATTTACATTTAGGGTTAATATTGTTATGTGTGAATTTGATACTGCCATTTTGGTGCTAGCTGGGTGTTTTGCCCTTTAGTTGAGCTGGTACTTGTTGTTCCGTTATTTGTGTAGAGCCTCTTTCAGGAGCTCTTGTAGAGCTGGCCTGGTGGTGACGAAATCTCTGAGTACTTGCATGTTCCCAAAGGATTTTATTTTTCCTTCACTTATGAAGCTTAGTTTGGCTGGATAGGAGATTCTTGGTTGAAGGTTCTTTTCTTTAAGGATGTTGAATATTGGCCCCCACTCTCTTCTGGCTTGTAGGGTTTCTGCTGAGAGATCTGCTGTGAGTCTGATGGGCTTCCCTTTGTGGGTAACCCGATCTTTCTCTCTGGCTGCCCTTAGTGTTTTCTTCTTCATTTCAACCCTGGTGAATCTGACGATTATGTGTCTTGGGGTTGCTCTTCTTGACGAATATCTTTGTGGTGTTCTCTGTATTTCCTGGACTTGAATGTTTGCCTGCCTTGCTAGGTTGGGGAAGTTTTCCTGGATAATATCCTGAAGAGTATTTTCCAGCTTGGATTCATTCTCTTCGTCGCATTCAGGTACGCCTATCAAACGTAGATTAGGTCTTTTCACATAGTCCCACATTTCTTGGAGATTTTGTTCATTCCTTTTTACCCTTTTTTCTCCAGTCTTGTCTTCCCGTTTTATTTCATTAAGTTGATCTTCGACCTCTGATATCCTTTCTTCTGCTTGGTCAATGCAGCTGTTGATACTTGCGCATGCTTCACGAAGTTCTCGTCTTGCGTTTTTCAGCTCCATCAATTCACTTATATTCCTTTCTATTTTGTCCATTCTCGTTAGCATTTCGTCAAATCTTTTTTCAAGGTTCTTAGTTTCTTTGCATTTGGTTAGAACATGTTCTTTAAGTTCACAGAAGTTTCTTACTACCCACCTTCTGAAGTCTGATTCTGTCATTTCATCACACTCGTTCTCCCTCCAACCTTGTTCCCTTGCTGGTGAGGAGTTGTGATCCCTTGTAGGAGGAGAGGTGTTCTGGTGTCGGGTGTTTTCATTCTTTTTGCGCTGGCTTCTTCCCATCTTTAAGGATTTATCCACCTGTCGACTTTGTAGTTGCTGGCTTTCAGATTGGGTCTCAAATCTTTCAGATTGACGTTCTGTTTGTTGATGATGAGGTTATTTCTGTTTCTTGGTTTTCCTTCTGACAGTCTGGCCCCTCTGCTGTAGGTCTGCTGAGGTTCACTCCAGGCCCTGCTTGCCTTGGGTTCACCTGCAGCAGCTGCTGAAAAGTAAGGGTGGTTACCAGTTTTCTTCTTCTGCTATCTTTGTCCCAGAAGGATACCCGCCTAGTGTCAATCTGATCTCTCCTTTATGCGGTGTCTCTTTGGATATATAGGGGTCAGGGAGCTGCTTGAAGAGACGGTCTCTTCTTTATAGGAGCTCAAATGGTGAGCTGTGAGCTCTGTTGTTCATTCAGAGCTGCTGGGCAGGTACGTTTAGGTCTGCTGCAGCAGAACTCATAAACTGCTTTTTGTTCCCAGGTGCTCTGTCCCAGGGATTTAGGGCTTTATTTATGAGTTTCCGTTATGCTGCTGCCTTCTTTTTTTTTTTTTTCCTTCAGAGCTGCCCAGCCCAGCAAGGAGGCAGCCTAGTCACTGTAGGCCTGTAGAGGGTTTGTTGAGCTGGTGTGGGCTGCGCCCCGCTGCCGAGTGAACTTCCCTGCAGTCCTGTTTATATGGGTGTAGTTAGAACTGCTTTGGCGATGGTGGCCCGCCTCTGTTGAGGTGGAGTCTCTCTGCTGTGGCGGGTTGCCTTGGCAACGGCGGGCTGCCTCAGCAATGGCAGGTTGCCTTGGCAACGGCTGGCTGCCTCAGCATTGGCCGACTACCTCCGTCGTGGCGGGCTGCCTCGCTAATGTCGGACGCCCCTCCCCTACAGAGCTGGACCATCCTGGGTTCAGCTGCGCTTGCTGTGAATCTCTCGATCCAGAGTTTCTGATTGCTGTTCTTTTGTGGGGGTGGGATCAGCCGAGCCTGATCGCCTGGCTCCCTGCCTCAGAGCCTTTTTTAAGTTGGTGTTCCAGTCGCCTGTTGAAGAGGCGCCGGGGTCTGTTTGTTTTCCCCTGCGGCCACTCACTGCGCTGGCTTAAACAGCGGCACTGAGGTTTGTGGTGCTTTTTTTTTTTTGCCCTGGAATCTACTGTCCTGGTTCCCTGCTCAGTCCCCTTTTTAAACAGACGAATGGGCAACTTCCCGTGGCTCCAATCACCAGCCAAAAGGGCACCCGGACCAGTGTATTTTGTACGGAGAACTGCTTCTCCGGGGCGCTGACAAAGCAGCCCAGCGGGGCAAAGCAGCGGTGCCGGCACAGCCGCCCTGGCCGAAACAGCCGCACTGGTGACCTGTGGAGTTCCTCCGCCTGGGAATTTCCTAGCCTGTGGGCAATAAAAATGCGGCGTCCACTCACCCTCTGCGCTTTCCCTGGGAGCTGCAATCCCGAGCTGTTCCTAAACGGCCATCTTGGATCCTCCCCTATGCATCGACTTACAACTTTTTAGTATAAGTCCTTAAACCAATAATTTATAATTTTCAGATGCTTTTGTAAGGATCTCCTTTTAACAAATACCTAACACATTTGTAACACCCATTAGCTAGTGTAAAATATGCCGAAGCACTGATGTAGCGTCTAATACCAGCTCTTATAGCATTTGCTTAACGAATCCCTTAACTCCTAAACCAGTCTTTGGTCTTATAAAATATTGAGTTTGTGTCAGATATTTTAAAATCATTTTCCATTCTGGTACGTTCATACCCTGATCTTGTTGGATAGAATGCGTAGGATACAGAGATTGTCAGTTTTGCATGATTTTTTTATCATCAATCATCAAACTCTGGCCTGAGTCATCTTAAGACATCTAATTGAGATTTCATTGATACTGAGAAAGTGAGCAGGCCCTCTGCTTCATGTTTGTTTTCTTTGTGGAGACCTGAATGCCTATTCTGAGATTCCACCAAATTCTGAATTCTCTGGCCATTTTTTGTTTGTTTTTTTGAGACAGAGTGTGACTCTGTCACCCAGGCTGGAGTGTAGTGTTGTGATTTCAGTTGACTTCAACCTCTGCCTCCCAGGCTCAAGCAATCCTCCCACCTCAGCCTCCTGAGTACCTGGAACTACAGGCAGAATCCACCATCCCTGACTAATTTTGTTTTTTAAAATAATTTGTTAGTAGAGATGAGAGCTCACTATGTTGCCCAGTCTGGGATTCTCTGGCTCTTCATGAATAATTGGTTTTTAAGTCTTTTCCCAAAAAAACCTTGCATGACTGAATTATCAAATGGCTTGAGACTGTTTAGTTTCTATCACGTGTGGCATGTAGATCAGTGGTGCTCAGCATAGGTATGAGTAAGATGCCTGTGTTAAGCACACTCCCTGCCCCACTGTCAGTCTTCATGAGGCACTATTTCTAATAAGACTGTAGACACATATGTGATATAATCATCTTAAACATATCAAATGTTACATATGAGTTTCAGCTTTTAAGAACATCAGTTGAGAAGATTTGAAGTTCAAAGACCATGACTTTAGTACTTCCTGAGTAATCAACTGAAGTGTGTTTTACACGTGTTTTCCAATTTGCTGACTATTAATTATAAGTGCTTCTGAATTTAAAGGAAGCACTTGCTGTTTAGGAACAAATAAACTGTAAATTCTGCAGGTCTACCCTCAAAGTCTATACAGAGGTTTAATCTGATGTGAGACACAGGATCACCCTTAGTGTTCTGTTTTTAGTGTATTTTATGAAACTCAAACTGTAGTGTCCTTTGTATACCTTTATGGTCATCTAAATAAACTGCTGCTCAGTAATGTTCCCAACTGTTATGTTTTTGTTTCAGGTGAAAGGCAGTCACAGCACTAAAAGAATACACACTGAAATGATGCAGGCTGCTCCTATGTTGGAAATTTGTTCACTAAAAATCTTTCAATAAAGCTTTACAGCCTTTTGCAAAGAAGTCTTTTGCATCTTTTGTTAATTTTATTTCTAGATATTTGATGATGTGAAATGTCTTTCAGTCTTTGAAATTTTATATTCTAACTCTTTGAGCTGGTGTGTGGAGGCATAATTCCTATGTATAGATTTTCTATCCAGCAACCTTGTTAAATATACTTAAGAATCTTAGATGTACACCTCATGTTCTCACTCATAAGTGGGTGTTGAACAATGAGACCACATGGACACAAGGAGGGGATCATCACACACCGGGGCCTGTCAGGGGCGTTGGTGAATTAGGGAAGGGATAGCAGTGGGTGGGGAATTGGGGAGGGCTAACATTAGGAGAAATACCTAATGTAGATGACGGGGTGATGGATGCAGCAAACAGCATGACACGTGTATACCTATGTAATAAACTTGCACGTTCTGCACATGTACCCCAGAACTTAAGGTATAATAATAAAAACAAAACAAAAAAAAGGTTTACTTCTAGATTTTTTTCAGTTTTCAACATTTAGAACCATATTATCTTCAAATAAGAATAATTTCATTCCTGCCATTTTTTTTGTTTTTGTTTTTTATTTTTTTTAGAGACTGGGATTTTGTCCTCTTGTCCAGGCTTTTATTGAACTCCTAAGCGCAAGTAATCCACTTGTCTTAGCCTTTCAATGTGTTGGTATTACAGGCATGGGCCACCGTGCCAGGCCTGTTTTTGCCATTTTAAACACTTTTATTTCCTTTTCTGATATTATGGCATTGGGCAGACCCACCTGGTACAATGGTGATAGTGGAAATGTTTGTGTTATTCCTGATGAGAAATGGAAATTTTCAACATTTCATGACAATTTTTACTATATTGTTTTTGTAGATGGACTTTGTCAGTCATTCCATTCTGTTCTTGCTGAGAACAGAATTTCATATGTTGAATTTCATCAAACATTGCATCTGTTGTGATAACCACAGGATTTTTCCCCCAGTAATCTGTTAATGTAGTGAATTACATTGATAAATTTGAACTCTTTTTTTTTTTTTTGAGACGGAGTTTTGCTCTTGTTGCCCAGGCTGGACTGCAATGCCACAACCTCATCACAAACTCCGCCTCCCAGGTTCAAGCAATTCTCCTGCCTCAGCCTCCCAAGTAGCTGGGATTACAGGCATGCGCCACCATGCCACACTAATTTTGTATTTTTAGTAGAGTTGAGGTTTCTCCATGTTGGTCAAGCTGGTCTGTAACTCCCGACCTCAGGTGATCCACCTGCCTCGGCCTCCCGAAGTGCTGTGATTACAGGCATGAGCCACCATGCCCATCCAATAAATTTGTACTTTTTAAATTTTAGCAGTTGAAACAGGTCTCATTCTGTCACCCATGCTGGATTGCAGTAGTGTGATCACATCTCACTGCAGCCTCGACCTCCCAAGCTCAAGCGATTTTCCCACCTCAGCCTCCTGAGCAGCTGGGACTATAGGTACATGCATCCATGCCCATCTAATTTTTCAATTTTTTTCAATTTTAGAGAATGAGATTTTTTTCATGTTTCCCAGGCTGGTTTTGCACTCCTAGGCTCAAGCCATCTGCTTGCCTCGGCCCCCCATAGTGCTGGGATTACAGGAATGAATCACTACGCCTGGCAAGCTTGTACATTTAAACCAACAATTTGGTCATGGTAATCTATGTTCTAATTATTTATTTAAGGATTTTTATGAGTGACATTACCTGTACTTTTATTTCATATTCTCCTTTGTTGGACTTTGTTTTCAAGGTTCCTCTAGCTTCATATAATGGGTTGTTATGTAAAACCTCTTTCTCCATTCTCTGGAACTCAAGTCTCTTCAAGGCTGAGTAATGTAGGGCTAGGCTTTCCCATAATGAGCTTTTCTAGATTGCTTCTCTCAGGTTTGGACCCTACTTAAACAGCAGTGACAAAACAGGCAGCTCCAGGTACCTATCCCCTCAAACTTTATGAGGGGCATCTTCTCTGAAGATGCTTCTAATGATAGTATCAATCTGAAAGCTATCTGCTCCTGTTTGCTGATATTAACTTTCTGCACACAGAAAGTTAAAAAGTCACTGCTGTATTAATTTCCCTAGAGTTTAATCTGTGCTATGTGGCTGTGAATGGGCCAACTGACCCTAGATCTGTGTATAATTATGACAATGGCTCCATTTATCTTTAAAATAAGAGGAATAATTATAAAACTCCTATTTACTTCATGTGTACTATCTATGAATTACTTCTTTGTGCTAGGTTGTATACATGTGTGACCTCTTTCAACCTCACGAGATAAGGCAGAATTTTCATGAAATTGATAGCGACTGACTCCAGTAAGAAGCAGATTTGGGGGGATTTCAATTTCTAAGCTCAAACTTGCACTTTTCTCAAAGGAAAGATTTAGAAATTGTTAAATGTAGACGAACTGATGGTGTATATGATGACTTTAGTTGTAATCTGATGTTTTTTAAAAAAATTACATATACAAAAGTGTTGGACTTAATGGAAGCATCTCCCAAAATGTGGTGCACAGACCTTGCATGGTGTCTCTAGGGCCTCCCACCCCACATTTCCCCTGCTTTTTCTCTTGTTCTGACTGAAAAACAAAGTGCCTTGTTTGCACTGAGACCCAGCCAGCTGTGTGTTTACCCAGCATGCTTGAACCCAAGCTGGAGCCTTGAACACTCTCAGGTGCTGATAAAGGTGTTTAGGTGGTTGCTCAAAATACTGAAAGAAACTAGCTCTGGCCCTGAACCAAATCCGTTAAACTCTCCTGTAAAACGACATAACCGGACCCCCCCCTCCACTGTGGATATACCTAGGCACGACATCCTTGTTGTCTGTTGTGAGGATGCTGTAGCCTACTCTGTAAGTTCTCCCAATAAATGCTTTGGACTGATCATCCTGGTGTTTAGTGCTCCTTGGAAATCCTGACAGGCCCAATCTCTAGACCATCTGGGGCACTACCTTGTGGGAACTCATCTACTTCTGCTTTTGGGGCATCTCCAGCTGTGGATTTGGCTGGATGAAATCATTAAAACAAAAACATTTAAAAACTTTTTTCATGATAATGTGTTTATTATGTTACAGAAAATATAATACTAAAGCCATTTGCAACAGTTAAGAACGTGTGTCACAAATTGCATGGCAAAATGCCACAACAGCCCCTACAAACACATCTGTCCTTCCAAGTTACTCAGATTTGGGAAAGGAGCAGCCAAAAATCTCTTTTCTTGTTCCACAAAATCCTCTGTTGGCTTGACAGTCAAGAGATTTCACTCAGAAGCCCCCCCTTGCTGCCCAATTCCAGATTTCTACTCTTGTTACTATATACAAAGACAGGTTACATCTCTGAGCTCTTGTTTGTGTCTTCACAGTCCCCCACCCCAAGAAAACAGTTGCGCCAAAAAAAAAAAAAATCCTACTCAGAATCCACCTTGCTTAGGGAATGACAAGGGATCATAAACAGCACTGATTTCTCCCTCTTACAGATGCTTAAAAATATTCTGTGATCCAAGAGGACTGAACATCTGAGGTTCAAGGAAAGAGTAAGGCTAAATGCAGGGTATCTCAATTTACCCCAAATACATGAGGGGTCCCTTGGTTGTGGAGGTGGCAGAAAAGATTAGAAACTATATAGAAGAAAAGGAAAAGCAACCAGGGGAACTTGCTCAGGGAAAATTACTTGGGTCCTACCTACCATGTCTCCTTATAGGCAATGGCATGAAAAAGCCAAGGGTTTCCATCCTGGCTTTGACACACTGACCTTGCAATGGTGCAATGGTGGGAAAGGTTCTTACAGTCTTTGGGCCTGTTTCCCCATTTCTAAAGTAGGAATAACTATTTACGATAAATGATTGCTATGAAGAATGAGATTCCAATACATACGGTGTTTCCCATGGAGGGGTATCATGTTCTGGTGGGGCAGACGGACACATAAACAGAAGACCAGTTGAAGTGCACACACACACACACACACACACAGTGAATGGGGTAGCTAAGAAGCAAGAGAAAAACAAGGAGAGAAGCGTTGTGAGAGTGAAAGAGATCTACTGAACTTCTCATATCCACTGATTGTTGGGTCCATCTACTTGATTCTGTTGATATAAGGCTGACTGGCAGCCAGGCATGGAGGCTCACGCCTGTAATCCCAGCTCTTTGGGAGGCCAAGGCAAGAGGATTGCTTGAGCCCATGAGTTCAAGACCAGCCTGGGCAACATAGCAAGACCCTGTTTCTATTTTTTTTTTTTTTGAGATGGAGTCTCACTCTGTTGCTCAGGCTGGAGTGCAGTGGCTCACTGCAACCTTTGCCTTCTGGGCTCAAGCATTTTCCCAGCTCAGCCTCCCAGGTAGCTGGGATTACAGGTGCATGCTGCCACACCTGGCTAATTTTTGTATTTTTAGTAGAGATGAGG